CATACCTGGAAAATTAGATATGGATAACTGATGTACAAAAAACATAACTGATAATCTTTTACAATGGACTTTATATAATAATAGCAGAATGTAAATTAATACTTAATATGAAAATTATAGGGATCCAGTTTTATAGAGAAGGTGATAAAAACAGTAACTATGTTCTCTAAATAGGCAAGCTGGTTTAATGCCTCATCAATCCTATCAATAGATGGAGCAAAACTTGCAACATTATTTATACTCTCTTGTTCCAGAAAGGATATAACACATGATAATGGAAGCCAAAAAACAAGATGCTTAGACCTTTACTATGGGCCATTCTTTTCAGACCACACTACTGTAAGATGTTACTTCAACAGCAGTAAAAAGTAATGTGTGCATGCATTTTTGCTGTAATAGTGCCTAGAGTAGTATTTTTTTTAAAAGAAATCTGAAACCAAGCTAAATGTCTAACAATGGAAATAATTACTGAATAACACAAGTTAAATGACAGACTATTATGTGCCATTAAAATTAAAATGATGTAGGGGCTGGGGGTTTAGCTCAGCGGCCTAAGTGCCTGCTTGGCAAACGTGAGGTCATGAGTTCGATCTCTGACACCAAAAATAAATAAATAAATAAAAATAAAAAACAACAACAAAAAATGATGTAGCGTATTCTAGCACTTTTTGGATATTTCAGATTTTTTAAATTGACAAATAATAACTGTATCTACATGGGCTACAATGTGATATTTTGAAACGTATATATTGTAAAATGATCAAGCCAGGGGAATATTCATCTCCTCAAAACCATTTATCATTTTTCTGTGAGAAGAGCATTCAGAATCCTCCCTTTTTGTTGTCTTGAAGTACACAACTGTTAAAACTACAGTCATCCTACTGTGCTGCAGATTACCACAACGTACTCTTTCTATTAACCATCATTTTGTACCAACTGACCAATCTCGCTACACCCCAACCAACTGCCCCAAACTCCCTGGCTTCTGATGGTCAGTATTCTACTCTGCAATATTTGTATAAGATCAGCTTGTTTAGATTCCACAAATGATCACACAGGATTTTACAGCCTGTGTCTTGAACAAGAACTGCTGTGCAAACAGTATATTTCCAGTGTATAAAATGTGCTGTTATATAAAGATGCATCCAATTAAACAAGAACAATTTCAAAAAAATAACAAGCTCATTATTAACACATCTATTGAAGTGATTTAAAAGTAATTTTATAAAGATTTTATTCATGTAAATATAGCACTGTATTGCTAGAAATGAAGAAAACAAATTCCAAATATTAGTAATATATTGTAAACTCTGTTGGAAACAAAGTATAAACTCATATTATTAAAAAAGAAATGTATGGAGATCCTTGAACACTGGACTACACCAGAAATATATGTGATATAAAATACTGACTAGAAAATGAAGCTAATGCCCTACCTCAGTACTATGTCTGCTGTGTGTAAGTTTCAGTGATTACTGGGAACCACAGTTCAGGATAAATTAGACTTGAGTCCCTTTTTAAGGTGGTGCAGTTATTCTCCCATGGCTGGGAGGGGGCCAACTGCAGAATTCCCTGCAGATACCTAAGTCCACAGATGCTCACATTCCTTGTATTAAATGGTGTCAAGTATGTCTGTGGCCTTCCTGTGTAACACTTGACATAACATAAATCCTATGCAAACAGCTGTTTCACAGTATTGTTTAGGGGATAATAACAAGAAAAAAGGTCTCTACATGTTCAATACAGACACAGATTTTTCTCTCTGAATGTTTGCAACTGGAGGTTGAATGAATCCACAGATGTGAAACCCACTGATATGGAGGGCTTATCATATACAAAAAGAGAATGTGTAAATAAAAATAGGCAAAAAGATCAATTAGCAAAATACAATAAATATGACTTCTTACACAGGTAGCCATACTAACAGCTCACGAATACCCAATGGAAAACACAAAATAACATGGTATTTGACAAACTTCTGGTGCTTAACAAAAAACAAATGCTTTACCGAACATTTAATAAAGCATCAAAAAATGTAAAAAACAAAGTAGAAAGCACTATAAAGACTTTTGTCTTTGCAGTGACAAGTTAAGTAAACGATCACTTTCAAGGCTCAAAAACCTGCCATCTTGGCTGGCGTGGAGGTGCCTCGTTACTGCATTAGGAACCAAGTCATTGTTCTCTGCAGACAATGCGCTACCTTAGGCTTGCCACAAACACTGCCAACTACACACTCCTAAGAGACTCCAACCCAACTTCTCATCATACAGTGATCCTTGAAGTTTTAATTCACCCACACATTTGTGAAGCACCACAGCACCACTTCGAAACCTTAGGCCTCTGCACGCCTGCCTTCTACCTCCTTCACTGACTCTTTAGAGAGCAGATCTGCTGCCCTGGTGGCTCCAAGGCCTGACTTTCTCAGCTCAGTGTGCCAGGAAAATGGCCCACAGTGGTGTTTCACGATGGCTGTAAGACGAAGCTTTCAATGTGAAATGTGCCTCTGCTGCTGTTCACTCACTGATCACAGCAGTAAGAAACTTCAAGATGCAAGCAAAGGACAGAATGCAGATTCTCTATCTGAATGCCTGCGTGAGCTATGCTCGCTACTTTGGGTAGAAGACAGTGGCTCTCCAGATGTGAGGCTGGTTCTAGGATGTGACAGCGGTGCGCTGCTGCTCGGAAGGGCCTTTGGTGTTCTGTGGCGGTCAGCAGTCAGAGTCAGTTAAACACAAATGATCTCTGTCCTCTGTCTCTGACAATGAATGCTGTTTACTACACTCTTGTTTCCTGCTGTAACTTAAATTTTTTGAAACATCCTCAAAGTCACAGGAAAAAAGTACAAATAATGATTTTTTTCTAAACATCAGAAAGTAAAATGTTAACAAGATATGTCAGCACTAGCTGGGTGTGGTGACGCACACCTGTGATCCAAGCTACCCAGGAAGCTGAGGCAGGAGGATTGCAAATTGAAGCTCAGCTGGGCAACTGAGTAAAACCATAAATAATAAAAAAGGGTGTGACTGTAGCTTGGTGGTAGAGTATTAGGACTAGCAAGTATGAGGCTCTGGGTTCAATTTCCAGTACTGAAAACAACAACAAAAAGGCTGGGAGTGTGTTTGCCTGCAATCCTGGCTACTCAGGAGGCTAAGGCAGAAGATCACAAGGTCAAGGCCAGCACAGGCAACTTAGCAAGACAATGTCTTTAATTAAAGGCAGAGGGAGGGCCTGGGATGTCACTCAGTGTGGATTCAACCCCCGGTACCTCACACACTCACACACACAAAGTACCATTGCCCTCAGAATACTCTCAGCTCTTCCTATGAGGATACTTTCTCACATTCCATAAAATACAAGGCTACGTTCCCCTTAGCCTCTGGCTGTTACTATGAACCCTTGTTTGGTGCGTATTTCTGTTTCAAGATGCCTTACTTCATATACAGGATATTTTTGACTTATTCACATAGAACTTGGGCCAACAGTCCTGCAGCTCAGGCCTGGACGAAGCTCACCTAGCCTGTGTATTTTCTTCACTAGGAACATCATGGCCTTCCTGTGCTTAGGAATCTGTAACACACTCAGCTCTTGTTTGGGGCCATTTTAGAGTCAATCCCTAACAAGCTGCCCAAAAGTTTTCAAAATGTGGCACGAGGTAGGCTGTAGAAAGGACGCCCGTCATGACGGTGTGAGGGCTGGAAAAGGCAGGCAGAGCGTCATCCTGCTTGCCCACAGCTGAGAAGGTATGTTGCTGGGCAGCTCACATTTTTCACTGCTCTTCACATGTCTGAATGATTTGTGGCAGAAGTGCTGAAAGTATTGATTTTGAGTCCTAATACCTTTAATCAAGTAGGCAGATTTGCAAACACTGAATCCGCATATCACAAAGACTGACTTATGTTTTTGAATTGTGTCACTGCATTGATCTAGTTATGTTGATTTGAATGAACTCATAAGCTCCTATTTTATTTGGGTGGGTATAATGTTAACATCAGTATTTATTTTGATGCTCAGATTGCCCCAGATCTGGCCAGTGAGGGCCCTCTTAGCAGGCTTCTTCATTCTCCTTTGAATACTTCCTCACCTTTTGGCACAAAAGGCTCCAGGCCTGCAATCAGTCATTTCTCCAAGAGCCCTGGTTCCTTTTAGTGAACGCAGCATTTAGTAAGCAGGATGGGAATACAGTACCAGGTGTGCTCAGTGCTATAAAATACTGTTCTCCACACACATTAGATTTATTGTTACTTGTTATATTTATAGTTATTAATGTAATCATACGTTGAAAAGACCAGTATCTTCTCTTCTAAGACACCAGGACATCCACTTTAATTCTTTCCTTTTCCACATCTGTAATTGTTTTCTCAGACTAAAAACCCTAGCCCTCCTTATCCTTGATACATCTACCAGTTAGAGTAACCCCTGTAAGTAACCAATCTTTCCTGCTGCCCCTCTTCTCTGTCCTCCTTCCCCCTCCACATGCTGCTCCACTCTGACACTGGCACAGATCAGCTCTGTGCAGGGAGGAATCCCCTGTGCTCCACAATGCTGTGTCTCCTCTCACTCTCTTCACTGGATCTGGACTGAAGTAGCTGTGCCAGAGGAAACCCTGACCCAGGCCACAAGCTCCTGAGAATCAGACCTTATGAGTGCTTCCGTCAAGCCTCCAACTCCAGGATGAACAGGTAAGTGAATAAATATACTGCTGGCAAAGTGGCGTGGACATGCTGTCCCTTGGTGTCCATCCCTTTCTACTGACAGGTAGCATTCCAGATACTGCACGTTTAATAAAACAATTCAAAACTCCTGATTCGGGGCTGGGGATTTAGCTCAGCGGCATAAGTGCCTGCCTTGCAAGCAGGCAGTTGTGAGTTCGATCCCCGGTACCGATTAAAAAAAAAAAAAAGAAAAAGAAAACTCCTGATTCAGTGAAATCACACCACTCCCGTTAGAACTGTAAATAGACTGGTCACCAGTTATCAGGAGAATATAAGACAACATGCTACCTCTGCACTCGGTACACTCGAGTCCATGGAGGCACAAGGGCTAGGATCCGAGCCACTAGTTCGATCAGGTCACTAGGAGAGTAACTCTTATATCGTCCTGATTTCCAAAGTTCGTACAGTCCCGTACCACGAATCACCAGGGTAGGGTAGAGTTTCATACCATCAGGACGAAAAGCAGGGTTCTCAAAAAACTCCTGTGAGTAAAGAACAAAAAGTTACTTCTCTGTTAGGTAGGTAGGGATTACCCATTGTCTTGGTTCCTTTTTTCTTGGTGCTGAAACAATACCTGACACCCAAAATTAAGGAAGAAAGGGTTTATTTAGCTTACAGTTTGTGGAGGTTTCAGTCTGTAATCAGGTGGCTCCAAGGCACAGTGGCTTGGCAGAAGGGCAATAGTTCAAGGCGACAGAGGACAGCAAAAGCAACAAGAACAAAAAGAATGGGGTGGGGCTGAGCCTCTTTTCCTCCCTTATACTGTATGCAGGCTATCCTCCCTAGGGCAGGTGTAGTGCTCACACTGTCTCCTCACACTACTCTTGCACAGGCTCAGGATATTTACAAAGTGAGGACCCTGGCCCCCTGCTGAGTCCCTTAAACTTCTAAAGGTCTCAAGGTGACACAATGAACAACACCCTAGAGGTAAGGGCATGTCTTCTCTACATCCCAGCATGTAGAACTGCTGAGTTACTTACTGAAGCTTCTGGACTCCTCAGGTTGACAGAACCATCACACCCCCCGGTGCAGTCTCAAGCCTGGGCCAGCTTCTCTCACACCCCCAGCACACTGTGGGGCCAAGTGAGGAGACAGGACAGGACTGAAACGTGTTCTTGTAGCTTTGTGGGCACCAAACATGTAAGTATTGGATTTCAAGGCCTGTCCAATCCTTGTCTATAGCTACCTGACCTCATGTCCCCCTCCATGCTGCCTGTCTGCCTTTGCAAAGGCTCTGTGCTCTGTGTGGAAAGTCATCAACTTCTCTTCCTCTAGCTAATCTTCCTGTTTCAGAATGCCATGCTAGAGACTGGTCTTCCTGACCTTCAAATACTAACTGCTGCATTAGAAAACTAATATTCTGGGGAATCTTATATTATTACATCTTTCTGTTAGAATCACACTGACAATCTATTCGATGTCTGCCTTCAGCTCCTGACCATAGCTTCCTTAATAATGGAATATATTTCATTGTTTGAATCTTGTGAAAGTTGTGACAGGAACACAGAAAACAACAAAAAGTTGTGACTGGTATCATTTGGCTTACAAAACATCCACTGTTTACCACATGGGCCATTACAAAGCCTGCTGAGTTTTTGATGCAACTATCTTGTCCTCTGGCCAGCTGGCATCAATGCTAACTTGGGTTGTACACTGTCCATTTGTTACCTGGACCCTGGGCGCCATGTCGAACTCATCCATTTTGGCAGTCGTTTTTTACGCTATGTTGTCTCCTGTAACCACCTTATGTCTTTACTTAGGATGCAGCAAGGAGACCCCAGGCATTCTCCTTCTCATGACTTTGTGCTGATCACTGCTCCAATCCTGACTGTGCAAGGTATGTGGTGGATAAATGGAGGTGAACTCACAGGCTCACTCTTATCCTCACCTTGGCATCCATGACTATCTGGCCAGCCATGCTCTCCCTTAGGAAATGGAAGAATGCTTCTTAGTATTCACTACATTATTTTTGCAAAATTTTCTATTGTTTAACTTGCTTTTCAAAGAAACCCCTGCAGGGTTTTGGAGCTCACATTGATTTAATAGTCTTAAATGCTGTATCCTTTTGAACTATGTGGTCTTAAGAGATACTGCTCTGTAGCTGTGATCTTCCCTGTGACACTTACAAAGGTGCATCAGGTATTTAATAAATAGCCACCCACAAAGAGTGTGAAAGAAAGCACATCTCCACTTAGTCTGAATCCACATTTGACAGGAGATTTCAGGAAAGTACTTCTGGTTCCTGGAGCCATGTCAACTGATTACTGCTTTTGTATGAGCGACGACAGACTGTCCCGGTTCTGGACTTTTAGTGAAAGACCGGGAAATAAAATAAGTGTTTCTCTCCTTTTCCTCCAAAACCACAATATAGGAAAGATTTTTAAAAGAAGTATAAACTTAGAAGAACAAGAAAGCAAACCAGTGGGATAACTGAGAGCAAAAAGTTTTTGAAAACAGAAAGTGGATGGAAGACCAGTGAAGTGACTTTGCAAGCAAAGAAACGGCAGTAAAAGGTCAGCTCGATCACACCAAACCCCAGGACTTCTGACCCAGGGAAAGAGATATGGCAACCCAAGCGGGGCCTGGATCAGGGTTTGCGCTACTGTACAGGACAAGGAGGCGGCAAATTCCCTGGTGTTATGGTTTACATTTAGATGCCCGCGCAAGCCTCATATGCACATAGGTGGGGCTTTGGGGAGGTGACTGGACCACAGGGTATATATGATCAGTGGATCAGCCCAAGGTGATGCCTGGTTGGAGGAGTTAGTTGGCCAGGGGCGTGGTCTAGGAGGGCCTGTCTCCCTCCTTCTCCCCTGATCTTTCTCTGCTGCCATGTCACAGACTGTTTCTCCTTTACCAGGCCCCTCTGCTACACCACCCTATCTTGGAGCCAACCGGCTGTGGAGTGAAACCTCAACAGTGAGCCATAATAAAACTTTCTCTTTTACACTGTGAGTATCAGGTATTTCATCCTAGTGATGAAGAAAGTAACTAAGACACTTGGAGAAACTGGAGAACCCCTAGATTCTGAGATACCAGGAACAAAGGAAGGGCTGGGTGAGAACCAAGCAGAAACCAGTGTGCGGATCACACTATCTGCCACCAACCAGGAAGATGGAGAGTAATCAAATGGCTTTACAACAGAGTTCAAAACACTGACAGGAATGTGCTAAACAAAAGCTTATTACATCATGTCTTTCAATGGAGCAAACCAGCAGCAGCTATAGAGAGCCTGCAGAAGATCCTCAATCTATAGGAACAAACATTTGGTTAAGGAGCACCATAAAACTGGGGAAGCCTAGAAGCTGATGGGAACACCAAAGCAAAAAGAATAAAAGGACACTGAAACATGGTATACAGGAAAACAAAACTTTAAAAAAAACCCTACATTTCCTTCAGAGATAAAACATCACATCTATAAAATAAGAAAAGGATGCTGCAGAAAATTGAATAACAAGAATTCAAGAAAGAACTTTTGGAAATTAAAATTATAAAAAAATTAATACAAAGTTTGAAAGATATAGTTAATAGAGTAAAAAATAAAAATAAATGAAAACCAGCAAAGACAGGAATATTAGATGATCAATTATGAAGATCCAACTTTTTCTTAAGTGGAGTTTTAGGGAGGAAAAAACCCCCCAGATAAACCAGGCTGGCAGTACATGCCTGTAATCTCAGCACTTGGGGGTGTGAGGCAAGAGGATTACAAGTCTGAACCCAACCTGGATTATATACATAAGTGAGTTCAAGATCAACCAGGGCTCCACTGAGCTACACAGAGAGAGATAGAGACAGAAAGAAAGACAGAGAGAGGGAAGGAAGGAGGAGGAAGAAGAGAAAGAGGAGGAGTAGAGGAAAGAGGAAAGAGAAAGCACTAAAAGAAAAGAAAAAAGAAAGAAAAAGTCTTGCCGAGATATATCACTGTAAAATCTCACAACCTATAGGATATAAAAAGAATTTCTTTAAAAATTTTTGAGGGGAAAAAACCTAGGTATATACATTGTAGGATTTTGAAGTCAGGAATACTATAGAGGATTAAGAATCAGGATAGTATTAGGCTCTTTAAGAGCACTATTAAAAGCTGTAAGACAATGGTGTAATTGATTTTTTCTTTTTTAATCTGAGGTAAAATAACTTTCACCCTAGAATTCTACAGTGTAGACACGGCATGCGAAAACACTGACTTCCCTTGAGGAACCGTCTTCTAGGAAGCTGCTGGAGAACATTCCAGCAAAATGCAGAGTTAACAGAGAAGACACCCGAAGAGCCAGCAAACAAAGGAGTAGGTCGAGAGAGCAGGAAAGGCCCAGGTGGCCCTGTGTGTGGCTGGAAGACGGGGCCCTGCCTGCCAGTGCGGTCTCCTGGCTGAGACAGGAGTAAGGACACCTGAGCAGCCAACCTCCCCAGGGGGAAAACAAGACAAGTCCTGGGCAAGCAAACAAGGCAGCTGCTGACTCCGAAAAAAATGAGGTTATTCAAGAGCAGAAATGTTCCTACCACACTGCTTAACTTAAAAAGATAAAAATAATGCAATATTAGGAGGGAAGGGTAAAAGAATTAAATACTCAACTTCCACACCAGCAAGGCAAAGGAAGCTATCTAAAACTGATAAGCCAAGAACAGCAAGTACAGGATTAAAAACTGCGGAGGCAAATACTACTGCCAAGGCTTTTAGCATTACTGGATTTGAGAATATTATTTAATAGGATTCCTATTCTCTAATGGCTTTGGTAAAACAAAGATAAAAAATGACTTTAGCTTATATCACTCTGCTAATGACATGTCCAAACGGAACAAGGCTGGCAGCAGTGAACGGTGAGATGCTAACCGTGGCGAGCCAAGGAAGCCTGCGGGGCAGCTGTCACGGGGGAATGACGGACGGCAGCCTGAAAGACGCGTGCAGGCAGCCGAGAGGACCCTGGCCGGATGGACGCACCAGCAGCTGCTGCTGGTGCCGACGAGTGTCTCCCTGGGGTCCCTGTGTGGCACCTCAGTGAATCTCTGCAACAGGCAGATGCTAAACTGGCCTCACTGAAGACACAAAGAAACCGAGGAGAGAAGCAGTGAAACAGTTTGTTTCTAAGTGGTGGGGCCAGAATTCAAATTTTGAAAAATGTGGATGTAGTAAAGCCAAGTAGGATAGATTAAATCACACAGACATTTAAATACGTTAATTTATCAGGATCAGGCTGCAACACCCATAAGGCTTACTGTAAAGTTAAGTAAAAGAAGAGATTAAAAGAAATACCCACCCCATGTGTATGTAGGCAAGGAGGCGTGCCTATACTGGACATGGTTAGACAGTCCTATTCCCCTCAAATCCTAAGCATGAAACTAACCCTGCAGAGCATGTATTAAGGGAGTTGTCTTGACACTAGGGCTGTGGGTGGCTTCTCCTTACTGCGTTTCTAATATTCCACAGTGATGATGTACTGCTTCAGGAATGGAGAAAATCCACAGCCAATAAGCAATTAAAGCAGAAGGGTCTGAGTGTACACAGAGGCATTCTCCACCTGCCCATGGAGGTGACACTTACTACAAACTGCTCGATGTCCCGTTCTAGTCCCACGTTTGGCAGATCAGGCATCATATGAGCCACCACTTTGAAACCAGAGTCTTTGGCCAGATGGAACGACTCACACACTGCCTTGACAGTGTGGCCTCTGAGGAAAGAAAATTCACAACTGTTATACAAACAAAAGGACAACGAAGCTAACATAGGGAGCAGGGGAAGGTGATCTGTGAGACCAGGAAATGTACGGCTGGGGAAGCAAACTATCCGTGGAGCCCTGAGAGTGAACCACCTTAATTCAGAGCTGGTCTCAGAGTCCCCTTACGTAGCCACTTCTAGTCCTGCAGTAAACAACAGGGCAGTAAGGACTCATGCATGCTGTAGCTATTTGTGGTGCTACTGTCTGTCAAAACGAGCTTATTAATGCTCATATCCATGCTAGAAGAACAACAATGAGCTCCAAACCATGCAGAAGCTACAGCTTGTTGTACTTTCCTTTAAAAGTCTTGTGAAACTATTGGGAGAGAAAGAGGAGGAGTGAACCCTAAAATGCAAAATAGATTTAGGGATCCTTAAACTAAAAAAAAATTGAGGAGCCCGCTTTAGTGAGAAGGTGGGCAAACTCTCACCTCATACACTCTAGTGCCCCAGCAAGTAGGAAGCGAAATGCACCAAAAGTCCGGGGCACTAAAGAGGGAAGCCCGGTGCCAACCCCTGCCTCCTCCCGGATATTCCCATTCACCAGAGAAAGACCCTGGAAACCATGGAGTCCACCACCTTCCTAGACCTTCCCATGGCTTCACTTTTAATCTCTTTTGGCTAAGGACTCCCAAGGTTCTATGATGAAGCCAGGCGTGTCGTCTGAATTCCATGCTCACATAACCAACACCCCACAGTGAGACTGTATGATGTGCTAGCTGCTAGGTATGTGCGGTTTTCAAACGATTTAAGTGGGATAAAAAGCAAGCTTTAGTTTCTTAGTTGTACTATACTGGACAGTGCAGGCACAGAGCATTTTCATCCCTGCGAAACATTCTACTGGCTGGCCCTGGCTGGCCTTGCCCTGGCATCCGCACTGGTTCCACTACTATCGAAAACTAAAGTGAGTCCAAAATGAAACCCGTCTCCCTCCAAACTTTCCGGACTTCCTATTTTCATTTCTAAGCATTCACCAGACACTGCTGCTCACTTCTTAATGGGGTATCGGAAATTCCTGCTTGAATTTCCACAGGAGCCTCCTGCTTTCTGCATGGGAAAAGCCACCTACGGCAGGGATGGGGCATGGGGTGTACATGTTTGTAGGACACTGGACGAGGGGCCACAGTGAAGGGCTGAAAAAGAGGGAAGAGGCATGAACTGAAGAGCAGGGCAGAGGAAAAGACTCTGAAAAGGAGGAATCGCAGACTCCTTTTTCCCAGACCGGAGGGAAGGAAGAATGTGTGAGAATGTGAGGAAACTGGGGAGCAGGGGAAAAACTACGAGATCCCCGGCCACCCTCTCACCTGTTGGTGTCTCTGGCCACATCTTCGTACACACTCTGCACTCCAATCTCCAGCCTAGTGCAGCCGTAGGTCAACATGTCACTTAAGTGTCTCTTCATACAATAATCTGGCCTGGTCTCGATGGTAATTCCGATACACTTCGTGAGGCTTCTCTCAGAATACCTGTAGAGCACATTTAAAAATAACACATCTGCTATAATCTTGGGTCATTTTCTTTCACTCCAAGTACTGCCTTTCCCTAATCTGCCCAGGATGGGGCAGTGGTTAGGAGCAGGCTACGGAGGCAGACTAAGTTCAAATCCTGGCTCTGCTACTGCCTAGCTATGCAAACAGCAATGCTATTAACCTCTTCGGGCTTCAGATTTCTTCTCTGCAAAATGACGGTAATAGCAGTACCTCTACCTCACAGGACTGACGTGACTGAACTAGCAGATTGGAATGTTATTATCATTATCCTTATTATTCCCATGCAGTGTGCTACAGCTATAATCTTCTGCAAAACAGTAATTTCTACTTGAAAATGTATTTTTCAATTCCTAGTAACCATTTTTCACATCAGTGAAAACTATCTGCATTATTTTGCACTCTGTATTTCAGAGTCATTTTAAACAAAAGGCAAAAAAGAGGGAGGGAGAATATATGTAATGATCACAGGAATAATTTGGATGAAATAAATGTCTTCTACATATACAGAAGTCTTCCCATCAAGCCTATTACTCAGTAATAATTTACAAAATCAGAAAACATTTTTGTCATCTTCTAAAAGTAGGTACAGAAAAGTGCGCAGCACGTTAATTTCAGTGCTGTGAGTCAGTGGTCTTTATGCTGGCCACAGACTGACAGGATCAAATTGCTTGCTCAGGGCCTAGTGAGGGACGAGGACAGAAAATCACTTTGATGAGGCCACCCTGGGTCAACTATTATGCACAGACTCTCAGCATACAATCCTTCCAAGAGCTCTGTGAGTCCTATCATCCCCATTCTGCAGATAAAGGCATTGAAGTTGAAAGACACTAAGAGCTTATCCAAGGATACAGCACCACAAATTTCCAGTCAGGATATGAATGTAGTAAGGTCTTATGATAAGAAGCAAACACACAAAAGTCAACTGCATGCATAATGCTGCCAACAACCTAAAATAAAATTCTGTAGCATTAACAAAAATATTTTGGAAAAAATTTTACAAAAGGCTTACCAAATCTCTACACTGAGCATTACTAAGGGAAATTAAAGAAGATGTAAACAAATGAGGTAGACTATATTCATGAATTGGAAGACAATAAATTATCAGCTTCCTTTAACTTCCATAACACTTTTTAATGGAAATTAGTCAGCTAGTTCTAAATTTTACAAAGAAATGCAGAGTTAGACTCCCTAAAGCAGTCTTGAAAAACAGTCGCAAAGATGAAGACTCACATTGCTTTACCTCAAGCACAGTAAGCAGCTACAGTCACAGACACCGTGCAGCAACAGCGGAGGACAGAAGCAACGGAAGAGCCCAGCCCCACGTGAATACAGGCCTTCGATTTTTAACAAAGTTGGATGCAATTCAAATGGAAAAGAAAGGCTTTAAAGATTTAAAATAACTAGCTACCCATCAGGGGAAAAAAAGAAACCCTGATGCCTATCTTACATTATACATAAAAATTAATTCAAGGTGGACCACAAACCCTATGTATAAATGCTAAAACTGTAACTAGAAAACACAAGAGAAAATTTTTATGCCTTGGAAACATGCAACGTTTACTAGAGACAAAACAGAAAGTATACCCATAAAAGGAAAAATTGCTAAATTAGACCTCATCAAAGATATCCTGCTCAAAGATATCATTAATACAATGAACAAACAAACTAGGTCTTCATATTTACACAAAACAAATGTGTGAAAGGACCGATTCCAGGATATATAACAACAACTCAGTAAAAAATCAGCAGAAGATTTTAACAGATACCTCACAAAGGAAACACATTCAGCAGCATAAGCATGGGTGCCTCATGTCATTAGTCATTAGGAAACACAAATTAAAACCTTAATATCATTTCATACCCACAGAGTTATACTAAAATTAAAAGGTTGGGGGCCAGGGTTAGACTATCTAGAGGAGTCACAAAGATGAAGATTCATTGGGGGCTGGGGATTTAGCTCAGCGGCATAAGCACCTGCCTTGCAAGCAGGCAGTCGTGAGTTCAATCCCTGGTACCGATAAAAAGGAAAAAGACCAAAAAAAAAAAAAAAAAAAAAAGATGAAGACTCACATTACTTGACTTCAAGACAGTAAAAAGCTATAGTCATCGACACAGTGCAGCACCAGCATTAGGTACCAGTAAAACCAGAACGGCTGCCTCTGGGAGGCACGGGGAGGATTTCTTGAGAAGAGGTGTGGGTTAGGGGCAGAGCAGCTGCACAGCATGTACCAGGCCCCAGCACAAATGCACACATACACAGCCCTGAAAAACGAAAGGACTGGCAAAATCATTTGTTTTTGAGGATACACAACAATCCAGGGCTCAGCCATTACTGGCGGGGGTACAAATGATACAGACATTTGGAAAACTGGCTGATGGTTTCCTTAAAACTAAACAAACCTAGCCGGGCATGGTGGCTCGTGCCTGTAATCCCAGCACTCGGGAGGCTGAGACAGGAGGATCGTTACGAGTTTGAGACCAGCCTGGGCTACAAAGTGAGCTCAAGGTCAGCCTGAACTGCATAGCGAGACCTTGTTTCAAAAAGACAACAACAACAAAAACCTAGCAGTAACTAGCAAATCTAGTTACTACCCAGAGAAATAGATATGTATATTCACAAAGACTTGTATAAGAATATTTTGTGAAGTTTTACACATAGTCACACACTGGAAATAGCGCTGGTATCCATTAATGAAGAAATGGATAGACAGACTGGTTGATGCTTCTGATGGAGTATTATTTGGTACTAAAAAGCTAGCAAGTACTAAACACCTAATAACACTGATGAAATCTTAAAATACTGTGCTCCGTGAAGGAAGCCTTATACAAAATACTACATGCTAGATGGTTCTGTTTATGTGAAGTTCTGAAGTAGGCAAAATCCACCGATGGGGAGGAAAATATCAGCATGGCTGCCTCTGGAAGGTACAAGTGAGCATTTCTTGAGAAGGGCAGAAGGCAACTTTCTGGGATAATGATGATGTTCTACATATTAATAGGGCTTTGCTCCATACGTACATGCATTAGTCAAAGTTACTTCATGGTATAATTAAGATCTGTGTATTTCACTATACATAAATTACGTCAAAAGAAAAACACCCAACAATGAACACAGGTAATCCATGAAAAAGTATGTACTTGGAGAGTAGTACACTAAGCATGCACCTTACACACACACACACAAGAATGATGAATGGATAGCAAAATGAACAGTCATGTGATATTGCAGAGTCTAAGTGATGGGTAAGTGGATATTCACTGGGAAATTCTTTCCAATTGTCTTTCAAATAAAATGCTGGAAGGAAAACTGGTATCATCTCCTTTATGATAACCAGGACTGTATCTTAGGTTGCCTAGCTGTTGTTAAGGACCATTTATGAAAATCAGTGCAAGACAGTGGTCCGTACATCAAGTGAGGAGCGGGGAGCCCCAGGTTCAGGAGGTTCTGAGGCCTGGGGTTCTAAGGCCCAGAGCAGCAAGCAGGACACAGTCAGTTCCAAGCCTCCCAGGTTGCTGTGCTTGCCTCACGGATTTGCAAGTCTAGAAAACGGACTTCAGACTCTGGTACCCAGCATTCCCTATCACTATAGCTTTTCTAAGACATCTAAGGACAACTAGAGGATTTAAAGGCATGGGTGAAGGGGAAAAGGAGGAACGGAAATGAATTAAAAATTCCAAGGGAGATTGTGTGACTCACTCACTTCTTGATGGGCAACTACCCTTTTAAATTGCATCTTGTGAAAACAGCCAAGGAGCATTAAAGACTGAATGCGGACCTGCTTCTGGGCAGAGCTGATTAAAAAGTAATAAAACTCCTTTAAAAGGTTGCTCTGAGTTATTTGGCAATATCTGCATCCTGGTGAATGGGTGACTCATACTCCACCATGGTCTTTGCATCTCCTGAGCTATGACTCTTAGGGATGACAGACACCAGTAACTGTCGCTCCCCGGAGACTGAGCTGATAGTGAAGAGAGATTGGCGCTGTGCTCAACGCGGTGAGCCTGCAAAGACCGTAACTGGCTTTGCCCTTGAGCGGATCTCGTTTACCCAGCTTTCTGGTTTTCCCACCTGCAAGGACACAATGTGCTGCCTGACACAAGTAACCAGGCTTGCCTCGCTGGAGTTTTTCTTGACCCTAATACCTGATCTTTTAAGCAAGAGGCAGACGGTTAGCAGGGGCACCAGCGCTAACGGCGAGGCCTGATCCTGGCTTCCATAGACTTTTACCCCTAAACACTGTCGACTCGTGTGCCTCAATACATAATTTTCAGCCTAGTTTAAAGTCTTTAAAAAGCACCCTTTAAAAGTAATGAAAGATAACTATAGCTGTGTGGTGAGCACAAACATCTAATAACCAGTAGCAAAATAAACCGGAATCTCCTCACTTTACGTCTGAGGGAGGCCAAACACAGTGGGAAAATTGGCCAAGTTTCACCAAAACCCTCTACACAATTTAATTCAGAGAACAGCAAGGTTGAATCCAAACATCTTGAAAAGGATGTAATGTGCCAAAAATAATGTTGTCCTGGACTGCTTGTTATCACAGTGATGCTAATATTTGCAAATAATTATTTGTGTCTAGTTCTCTAGTCCATGTCAGACTGCTTGTTCAAATAACACCAAGTTCCCTCCAAACAACTACCAGCTCTGCTATAGGAAGTCGGCAGCAACAAAATTCACCTCGACAAAGCAGGCAAGAGTTCACAAACTGGCTTTTTTTCACACTGCCTCATAAAAATACAGCGACAAGGAGAATAGAGTGAAACGCACAGTGTGGACTGGCAGGGCTCTGTGCAGCATTAAGGATGGTTTTATGGGTCCCGGATTGCACTTTTATTATTTCCTGAGAGCCATTCATGAGATTTGTTGCAGTGAAGACTCAAGCCATATATAAATTTTTATCTGAAACTTAAAAGTGTTTGTTGCCCTCTTGAGGTAAGTTCAAGAATAGAAACAAAACAACCGGGCTTTGCCTTCTCTATTACTGAAAGAGGCTTTTTTCTCCCCTGCTTTCTTGGAGACACCCTTGGTGAACTGAAGTTGGCTAATTTTAAGGGCACTGGCACATTTCTACACAAAGCTTCACGTCATGGAGAAAGTAAATTGTTACAGTTGCAGACAATGAAATGGCACACAGAAACTCATCATGCTGAACTGGGCTGGGACCACCTGCTTTGCAGAACCCAGGTGGGGACCACGTATGTAAGTTATTTATAGCCCAATTCCACCTAACAGAGAAGACCTCAGCAAAAGAAACCTGCACCAAGACAGGAAGACACGGAAACAGGAGCTTGGAAAGAAAACCAGAATGGTCTTTGAAGACCACCCTGCTAGGAAGTTTCCGAGCTGCCTGGCTCTCAGCTGTGACCCTCTGAGGCACTGCTGCCACCCTGAAGTCTTGTGCTTTGGACTAATTTAGTTTCCTTAACTGCATTTTATCAAGGCTGTCATGCGATTTTTCGGTATCAAGAGGAACGAGTTGGATGACAACATTACTCTAAGTTTGAAGACTTCAGCGTTTCACTAAGCATGAGTCACACTTGTGAATGATCAAGGTTTGGAATGAGTGGTGAGAACAGTTTCCGGCTCCTCCTGCTCCAGACGCTGTGGTGGGAGCTGAGCCCACTGAGAAGTCTGGCTTCAGAGACACAGCTTCACTGTCACAAATCCCCGAGTCAGGCAAAGACAGGCAAGCTGCTCGCCGTGACACACATTCTCCCAGTGGCGGCTCTTTACACAGGCCCCGAGAGCCACTGCTGTACTTCTATTCAAATTTGTGAAAAAGCCTCTCTGTTCTTTTCATGTTTTACAGAGTCAAAGGAGACCAAGGGGAAGCAGATATGGCACACAAAGATGTCGCTCTGCCCAATTTCAGAAGGCCACCTCACCACCATCAGTCACTGTCAATATTTCACCTGCAGGACAATCACTCACTCAAAATCTGTTCACATCTACTTAAGCCTACTGCGTGCTATGAACTGCTTTAATTACAGGGTAATAAAGCCAGCTGTGGTCCACTCAAAATCTGGTCCTACTTACCACCACACCATAACTGTGATTGGGGCACAGTGTGAAAACCTCAGCGTCAGCTGGACGATGTTCCCCTTTTTTCTTATAATTGAGGAGCCAGAGATAAGCCTGAAGGTGACAGCAACAGCAGAAAACAGAGACCACATTCCTGGTAGTAGTTTTAAGTTCTAGTGATGTACACACAGGTGTACTAGTACAGACGTATACACACACACCCACACACACACAGTACATGCAGCACAATTTTACACACAGCAGCTTCTGGCATGGGAGCAGATATCAGGCTCTGGAAGCAAAGCAGCCTGCGGTCTCTTTCTTGGTTTCTGTTTGCAGCACTGGAGCTTGAACCTGGGGCCTTGTGCACATGAGGCAAACACGCTACCACTGAGTTACACTCCCAGCCCTTGCCTGGGCTTTCTGCCTTCACTCTGCCACCAACTCCCACAGTAGCTTTGGACAAGTTACTTTATCGCTCCGTGACTCAGTTTCTTCATCTGTAAAATAGACATAATCTGAAGACTCAATGGTTTACTGTGAGTATGAAGTGAATCAAGCACCTGTTACAATCCTGGCACTGTAGACAGAGCAAATGTAAATATACTCCTTTTCTCCTGTTCCCATACCCCTGTCTCCTCAACTCTCCGGCCTCCGGTCAGTATGGTTCTACTGTGTCCTCCCTCCTGCACACACACACACACACACACTCGTGGACACACAAATGATGACATCATAGTATAAGAATTGCTCTATGCGGTGCTTTTTCACTTCAAATGCCCTTGAGACTGAGACTTTCCCTTAGGCGATCTCATCCATGCACATGGCCGCAAACAGCACCCCTAAGCTGGTCACCCCATTTTTTAGTGCTAGTCCAGGCTTCTGTAGTGATAGGCCACCCAACGCTGCCACTTGAACACGTTGCAGGCATTTTGAACCTAACACACACAGAGAAAACCTCTTGGCTTTCCTCACCCACCCCTGCTCATCCCTCAGCCTCGTGCACCTTGGCATACTGTGCTACCTTCTCACCAAAGCCTTCAGCCCAAACCCGTGTGTCGTTTTGGACACCTTCCTTCTACCTCCGACCTCTTCCTCATCACCTGCCACCACCCTTAACTGAGATAGTCAAAGGTCCTATAGGCTTCCCCTTTCACTCCTGAACCCCGTAAACTGCTGGCCAACAGCAGCCACCACAACCTTACTCACTCACTAGAACATGGCACCCTGCTGTTACAGCCGTCCATGCTCCTGCTACATTTCAGAAAACCCACACGGCTTCATCTCCTCACAGCTGTGTATAATCTGGCCCTTAGCCAATCTCATCTCAGGGCATTTGCCCTCTTGTCCACTGGGGTCTCTTCTAAAATTTAAAGAGTTTCGCATTTACTAAGCATCCTGCACCCCGATCCAGCCACTGCTCCTCAAGCTGCTTCCCGCGCTGGGGCCTCCGTCTCACCCCCTCGGCTGGGGTCTGACTGACTCCCCTTTATCCACCAGGTCCTGTCCTGTCTAGCGCAGTGGTGCGTTTCCATGGCAGCACTCACTCTCATGTTGAGCTGGCGGAATAGAAACACCGTGAGGACAAGAGCAATGTTTATCTTAATCACCACGTGGCTCCCGGGGCCTAAAACAGAGACCTAATAGCCTCTGCGGAAGCATCTGGTAAAATGATACTAACCACAGCAGCAAACAAGGGGCTACCCAAGTAGTCTCATAGAATCCAAAAACAAAACTATTTTAATACTTCTTAAATTACTGAATGTTAGATGAAACCTTGTACTTTTCCTTCTAAACTCTGCCACACAGAGTATCAGAAGAAATCATAATTCTCTTATTTTTTTATTAGAATTCAGAAAGAGTAGATGAATCCATTGTAGTTCCAATGTTTGCCCCTTCCACACTCCATGTTGACATTTAGTGGCCAATGAAGTAAAATCAAGAGGCAGGACCTTTGACAGATGGTTAGGGCATGAGGTCTTAGCCCTCATGGGCGGGATAACACAGTTACAAGAGAGGGTATCAGGCTCCTCTTTGTTACTTGTCTTCCTGGTATAACACAGCAAGAAGGTCTCTGCCAGATGCTAATACCCTGGTTACAGCAGCACAGAACAGACTGAGTCCATTCATAAACAGGAATTATGTAATTGTTACAACAGTCACTAATAAATCACGTTTTAAAAATAATAAATAGGTTTTAAAATAGGCTTTAAAAATAGTTATTTATTTTGTTGATTTTATAGTATTTCTGAGAAATAGTATCCAGCTCGACTGAAACTAGTCCTAGTTTGGATCAGCTTAAGCCTGAAAAAAACCTTTTACAGACTATACTTTGTGTACATCTCTATTTTAAAATACTAGCTTGTCTTACTTTTCTTGTTACTGACACAAAATACCTGAGACCCACAGTTAAAGGGGGAAAGGTTTACTTAGCTCAGTCGGTCCATAATCAGCTGGCTCCGAGGCAAAGTGGCACATGAAAGATGGGCAACAGTTCATGGTAGAAGACAGCAAAAACAACAAAGAGAGAGAAAGCAAGCCTTTTTCTGTCCCTTGTATAGTATCCAGTCTACTGAATTAGTGGTGCCAATCCAATCACCCATCCTTAATTCCCGTACCGTACTACCAATCCATCACTCTAGATTCAGCCATCTCTGACAAAACTCTATGCCTGTGTGAGGCTTTAGGGGGACATCTAGACACAAACCATAGCATATGTCAATGAGTCATATTCATTTTGTTGGTTGTCAGACAGAGTTTCACTAAGCTGCCAAGGCTGGCCTCAAACTTTTAGTCCTTCTGCTTCAGCTCCCTGAGTAGTTGGGATTATAGGCATATCCTATTATGCATGGCTAGTCTTTTCATTCATTTATTCATGTTTTAAAAGGATTATTTCAAGGAAAGTGATCCGATTCCCACAAAACAGGGGAGGGTACAAGAAAGAAGCATGTCAATATAGAACAGAGGAATAGAGAACAGAAGCATTCTTAAAAACATATTTCTAAAAGGATAACCTGGTAACCATGCTGGAGAGTGAGATAAAATAATAATTTCTTACTTGACTGCTTCGTAAATATTGTTGGAAGTATGTCCTGATAAGGCATCATGTAAATTTCGAATAAAATAATCCCTATATTCTTCTGGAAGGGCCATAAAAGTTCCACCCATCACGATAAACTCCACTTTATCCACACTGTGACCAAGCTGCTTTAACTGAAAGAAACATAAGTTCATCAGCATTAGAAAGGTACTGGCAACTGTTCTAACAGGGCATTACAAAAGTTCTAATTTTATTTCTCAATGAGTCATTAGTACAATTTAAACATAAGAAGACATTAAACATTCAGCAAATTCTGTAGATGAAAAAAGACTAAAAGAAAAAAATTACTGCTTAAGGGAAGGAGAGAATTAAAGATGAACAAAAATACTGGCTTCAATACCTAGAATTACGTGGAAATTTAAAAACCACAAGGAATATAAACTAGAAAGCAGCAAAGAAAATATAATATCAAATGCAATATAATAAATATTTATGTATCATACATCTTAGAGTCTGTGATAAGCCTTGGGGACAAAAGAGATACATTTCTGATTATGAAACAATTATGCATGTATGATTGTACAACATAATCGGGACTGCATAGATGGAAGAAAAAAGAACACTAAATTAGAAAGAAAAATCAAGAAACCAGTTTACAATTGAAGCTGTAGTCATAGAAGACCCCTCAGGCCTGTCTTCTGGGAGAAAAAAAGCCATGAAAGTGAATGATTGATTAAAAATGAAATACTATGTCTCCTCTACTAGGCAATGTAATGGCACAAATCTTTCATTCTGTCAACTACAATAAGCCAAGACCGTAATTTTTAAAAATAGGTTATTTAAATTTCTTGCTGTACCCTTGGCCTTGAGGAAACCCCCCTAAAGCAAAGTGCAAAATTATAAACTAGTATTAATAAACTATATAAGGCTGTCCATACTAATTAAGACAGAAGGGCATCTTTTTATATTTGTTTTCTGAATAAGGCAAATAACAATTCATTATCTATCTATCTATCTATCTATGCTTCAACACTATAAGAACATTCTGCTTCTATATCTATGATTGCTTCTAGGGAGCATACATCAAAATCATTGTGATGGCATTTTCAAAACAATCCTGCCAGAACACTGGAGGTGAGGATTTGCGCATGTCACAGAAGTGATTCAATGGCTTTGGTGCACTTAAAGTTAGAAAAGAATCATCACCCTATTTTAGTTTCTAAATCTCTAAAACTCAGGCTCCTTTTTAATAAATGTGAACAATTCACATTCTTCTGAAACAGTTTTGTATTTTCAATTGAGTTGATACCATAGCTTAAAAAACAACACAACCACAACAAAAACCAAGGTTGGTATAGAACACGCTTTTCCGAGCTATACACACTCCCCAGATGGGAGCCGTTCCTACCGCTAATGATCTTGTCCAAGAGCATGCTCAGATGATAGTGAAATGAAAGTTACAGCCAGGCTGATACACAGTTATATAAACGCTGAAGCAATTTACTGAGTCTATTATATTCCACTTACTATTTTAGACGGCGTATTTGCCCTGCCATATGTTACTATAGTGATTACAAATCAGCTTACATATTTAAAACTGGACAAGTTTAAAACAAAGTTGTAAACAAAGAAAATCTGTATCCATATTTAGATTTCTAGAAGAGCAGAGGGTCATTTGCACAATACTTGTTTTTAATCAGTTAAGTAGAGATCTTAATTTATATGCAATAAAATACATTACTGATAAATGGATAAAGGGTGAGTTCTGGTAAATGTTTAGTTAAATCGTGTAACCATCACCAAAGTCATGATACAGGACAGTTCCATAAGCTCTTGAGGTTCCTCACATCACTTTACAATCAATTCCTATCCGGCAAACCAGTCCCAACACCTCTTCATTCAGCTTATGAAACCTAAAATTCAATCCACTCACTGTCTTCTAAGAACTGTCACATACTTCGTTCCATAAATTTCATACCATATGACTCTCCATAGAACAGAACCCTCATAAAAATCATAATCTATAAAGAAAGTCGTGTTTTGGCCCATGCTAGACACCGCAAAATATAGTCTCCCCCAACCCTGAACAAGTATGAACAACTCAGAAAAGAGAAATACACTCTTACTTTTTATTTCATAATAAAACAATAATACTTTCTTAAGTCTAAAAATCTAATTGAAAATATGCTACTTCAGGGGCATGAGGCAAGGCAATAAAGGGATGGATACAATCAAAGTATGTTACATACATGTAAGAAAACACTACAGTGAAACCCAGTATCTTGTTAAATCAATATGCACTAAAAATTTAAAAAATGTAATGCTTTTTCAAAATTTACCTGTTCTATCCGGTGTCTCGTCTGTAGATAAGGGTCATATCTAGCACGAATAGCTCGCATGGAGGTTGGCTAAGAAAAAAAGAAAAAATACTCTGTTAACGCTCATCAACTGAAAAAGTAGTTCTGAAAAGACTTATCAGAAATAAAATTCTCTCTGGTTTTGAATACTAAAAATTTTTCTTGCAGTGCATCTGCCATTCTCGGTCTAAGCAGGGTTCAAAATACTGTCTTGTGCCAGTCCCACCTGACTGCCGGCAGGGCCTCAAAATGGAGGGTGACTCTTGGGATCTCATCAGTTTTCATGTAAATGCTTATGAAACTCCCGGGGCCTATAAAGTGTTCTACACAGATGTGCACGCACATGCACAAAGATTTATGGGGCAAAATGACCTGTAAACAAGGTTCTTGAGCACACACGGTTTGTAAAGACTTGATAGCCCTGATGCCACTGTCTTGCGGTGGAATACTACACAGCCATGAATCGGTGCGCTGGCAGACAGTGTTCTTGAGACACGCTGCGGGGTGCAAAGGCAAGGAGCAGAACACTGCTTCCACACACTACTTCATATGTGTAAGAAGGGAGGGAAAAGAGTATGTCTGTGCTTTTTGATCCACAAAATATCATAGAAGGATGTGAAGGAAAGAGGTAACCCTGATTACTGCCCACTGAGAGGAGGAGCAGAAAAAGGGGGCCAGCAGATAGAAATAAAGGGGATCTTTTCACTGAATGATTTCTTCTGTATTTTTAAAAATCTGAACCACAGAAAATCGGGATCGGGGATGAAAGCAATTTACAAGAAGGAAGGGTCGCTGGATTAGCCAGCATGTGGCCTTTTTTGCGGAGGGTGACTCCTTCCAGTGTGGGTGACTGCCCTCTGCTTTCACCTTGACCCCACCCTATCTGTTCACTCCTTTTTGCCACATGGCCACTGAAATGGTCTTTTAAAAACCTCAGCTGGACTGTACAACAGCCCTGCTTTAAACCTGATGCTTCTCCTGACACGGCTAAGACTCCGCACCCTGGCTTGCAGAGCCCAGCTGCTATGCAGCCTCCCTGCCTGCCTGCCTCCCTTCCCCGAGCTGCAGAGCACCCCCAGCCCCACCCCACCACGGCCCTTGCTCCTAGCTGTTGTCTGTGCACCTTCCTGCTGTCCTTTCAGGCCTGCCCTGAGAATGCCTTCCTAATGCTCACAGCGCGGCCTCACTCCACCACACTGCGCTGCCAGCATCTGTTAGCATCTGATGCTGTTCTTGATTGTTTATTGCCTGTCTTCTGCAGTCAGAAAGGAAATTCCACTTTCTGCTGGAAGAGGCAGAGATACAGCAGCAAGAGAGCACGGCTGCCATGTGCTGGCAGTGTCTCTGTGCCAGCCTCCTATGGCCCAGCGTCCTCGCCTGTGTAAGCGGTAAAGACACATTGCTTATCTCCCAAATACTGCTGTGCAATTTAATGCTGCAAAGCACTCAGGACAGTGGCTAGAATTTATCAATGACAAGTGCTGACTCCAGTGTTTCTCCGGTGACTGAACAATGCCGACACAGTAAACACAAAGCAACTGTTTGGGGAATCAACAGCTTTGATAATCAGGAAAGGAAGCGAGGACTTTTTAGAAAGCTGGTGCATGTAAAGTCACACTCTGGGTAAAATACAATGCAACGCTTCATCAGGACATCCTCAAAGTGCTGTACCTCATATCCGGTGTAGGACTGCGTAGAATACTCAAAGTCTGAATCAGGTCCACCCGGGCAATAGCTGACAATGTGGTGAGAGAAGAAAATGTCAGACACAAAACTTAGTTCAAAAACTAACAGTCCCCATAAAACCCTGGAATCCAATGAGCTTCACTCCAAGCCCTAATGGAACAGCGTACCTGAGCAGTGTCTGCAAATAATGTACTTCCCACAGTAAGTAAATAAAATTACTATGTAAAGGAATACCATGACACTGATTTTCAAATTGCTGCAATCACCACTTTCCCAGAGGTCTAAACTCTTAGAGTAAATAACAGGAACCAAGTTTTCCTGTATGAACCAATAACCATGGTGTTCTAACACACCGGGGAAAATCTCTCCCATTTTAATGCTCCCACCTACTGTCATGTGTATGTGTCACTAATTCTTCCACATATCTAAAGTTGAGAAATCTAAAGCTTATTGATAAGTATAATTATTTTATTTTGTTATTCTTCTAATCCAAATTCAGTTTAAATCTTTGACACTGGAATTGAAGTAGTTAGAACATCCACATGTCACTTGTCCAGTTATCGGGGTGTCCAATCATCTAAGTTCCAAACCCGAGTATTTTTTTCTAATACTGTAATAAATCAAAATATTTACATGTTCCATTTTTAAAGTACTGAACTATCCTAATGATGGTTGCTTGTTTCAGAAAACTAACCTATACATCTATTAAATCAAAGCTTTAAACATTACCAGCACATACTGATCAAGGCATTATAGAATTTATTAAGCAAATACACACACACAAAACTTATCAAGATCACTATACTTACACACATATGTTTCCTGTAAAACTTATGTGTGGGCATCTGTGGGGTTTGCACATCACAGCAACAACAGCAATCTATAAAAGAAAGATTAACGAAAAAGCAATTATGGAAAAATTACAACAAAATTCTGCAGTGTAGTTATTCTTTGAAGGAAGAAGAGAAATGCAATCAGATGGCACCCTCAGGGCTAAATTTCTTAGGCTGGGTATAAGGCAAGCTCTCTGCAATATTAGTCATCTGTAAAATGTACATATGAATTATCCATATGAGCTTTATACATTTTATAATAAATTAAGTACAAACTAAGGAATTGATTTTTAAAGCTACAGTGCTTATTTTCTGTTTTATTGCTTTTACTAAAATAGCCTAAAAGAAAAAAATTACGTGACCTTATAAAAATTTGGTATACACCTAACCTCTGTGATTCAAATTCCTCAGGAAACACTAGATCTCAGCATTTATAGCTAGCATGGTGACACTAAGCAATGACTCATCCAGTCAGTGAAAAACAGTCTTGGAGGGTAGAACAGAGCCAAAGCTCAGTGAGGGAAGTAGATGCCTCAGAAACGAGCTGGTGACAGAAAGGTAGGCAGTGACAGTACACATAAAAGCTAATGCAATCCTGGCTTCCGCTGGAAGAAAGGAAATTGTAAAAACCAAAAGGGAAAGAAGTAGAATGACGCTGGATCAAACTGGTGCTGGATAAAACTGAAAGGAACGGTGTGAACCCAGTGATCAGTGTGTGGCCAGATACAGATACAGATACAGATACAGATACAGATACAGATACAGATACAGATACAGATGATACAGATACAGATGGAAAGGCGTTACCTATGAGTGTCCTGAACATGTAGAGTCTCACAGTATGCTGTGATGTTCCTGCCAAAGACAGCCCGTCTCACCCTAATCATCAAGAAACATTTGATTAATCTAAATTGGGGGGTGTGTGAGAAAATAACTAGCCTGAAATCTTCAAAACTGCCAAGGTCCTGAAGGTAAGGACGGGACCATCCACAGTAAGGAGAAATGATGTGTAAATTCCCAGGGCTCCTCTGTTGGGTCCTGTGGACCTTACTGAAGCAGTGAAGCCTGGATGAGGGGTTGAAAACAGTCCCCAAGGTACCCACATTATGTTGTAGTTTACATGGCTGTACTGTAGTAACGTAAGAAAATGTCCTTGGGCCGGGGATTTAGCTGAGCGGCATAAGTGCCTGCCTTGTAAGCATGCAGTCATGAGTTCAATCCCCGGTACCAAAAAAAAAAAAAAGAAAATGTCCTTGATGGGCCGGGAAGATAGCTCAGTGGTGTAAGTGCCTGCCTGGCAAGCTCAAGGTCATGAGTTCCATCTCTGGTACAAAAAAAAGAAGGAGAAGGAGGAGGAGGAGGAGGAGGAGGAAAAAGAGGAGGAAGAGGAGAAGGAGGAGGAGGAGAAGAAGAAGACGACGACGATGACAACAATGTTCTTGTTGACAGGAAACACACATAGAAGCATTCAATGGCATCAGCTTTGCAGTGTACTTTCAAATTGTTTGGGGTACTTTTCTTCATTTTTTTTGATATTCGGAACTGAACTCACCACTGCGTGCTTGCTAGGCAGGCTCTATGCTCCTGAACTACATCCCCAGCCCCAGCAGTACTTTTAAATTTGCTGTAAGTTTGGAATTATTTTTCACAATAAAAATGACTAACATTTAATTTACACTGTTAGTAAGTTATTTAGAGAACCCCCCCCCAAAAATAATTTAGCCAGAAATTTCATTTAAAAGTCTGAATTAAAACCTTAAGATTTTCAAACAAATGTTTTTTATTTAAGAGAGTCACCACCATCTCACCACGGATGAGGTGAGTCCCCCATTCACCAACATTTCATGCAGGGCCTGGCAGAGCATCAGGGTCCAGAGCTGTGCAGGGTCCAGAGATGGCAGAAGAGCAGCTCAGGTCTGTGCCCCCTGAACTCGCGCTGCCTCATGGAGCAGAAGGCCAGAAAGCTGGGAAGCTGGTTATTTCCAAACAACAGGCCAAGAGGGTATGGAGAGCACAGGCTCCGCCAGAGGCCCAGCCAGGAGGGTCACACAGGCCTCCTGAGAGCCACACTGAGAGACCAGGGAGGGGGGCTGACGAGGCGGGGTGCAGAAGCTGGCAGGCATTCTCAAAGCCACAGCATGACCCTTTCGGGCACCACTGTACCAACAGCCTCAAAACAGAAAAGCGGTGAAGGTCACTGCTCCGGAACAAGGCAGAGAAGAGGGCGACTCCTACAGCTTTCCTGCAGTGTCACCCACAGCAGACTCTAAGAGTTGCTGAAGGAATCTGTGGTCTTGTAGAACACAGTTTAAGGATCACTGATAAGAGTGGAAAAACCATGATTTGGGGTCAACCAGAGAGAATTAGCTTTGACTTTTTCTTATGTTATTACTATGTGTTTCTATATTTTGTAAAATAAAGGCAATGTTATCTAACCCTCAGGGCTATTCTGAGAGTTAAGTTAGAAAACATAGTCAAACTGCTTAGCACAGTGGCTGGCACAGGAGGCACAGTCACATATGGCAGCTGCTGACTGCTGCTAATGCTGGTGTTAGTCTGTTACTAGCAGCATTCACAGGGCTCTAAGCAAAACATACACATACAGACTCAAAGAGGGTCATACATTTAACCATAAAATGCAAAACTATAAACTTCCAGAGGGAACAAAATCTAGGTGATCCTGAATTTCACAGTGAGTTTTAGATAGAATACAAAAGTATAACCATAAAAGAAAAGAAGAAAAGTGGCAAGCTAAATTTCATGAAAACCGAAGAGAATGAAAAGTCTCAGATTGGGAGAAAACATCTGCAAAAATATATGTCTGACTTATATCTAAAACACACAAAGAACTCCTTAAACTTAATAAGAAAATAAAGTTACGAATAAGACAAATGATATGAGTAGACATCCGACTAAAGAGTCTACATGATGTGATCAGAATATATGGTGCTTCATTTTTTAAAAACTTTATTATAGGGAAAGACCTGTTTCCATGGGTCCCCCCGAAATTCCTCCTCCTTGGTCTGAACACACTTAACCCACCATCTTCCACTTTCTGAGGCAGCGCTGGAACACCCCTCCTGGGTCTTCCCAAGATGTGATAAAAACACGCAGAGTCCTGCTGCCATCCAACAGAGAGGCGGGCTGATAAAAACATCTCACCGTGTCCTCACTCCTCACTCACATCATTCGGGACCCCACGACTTCTGCCTCTTCTCCAAAGTCAGAATGACCACAGAAGCAGAATGTTTTGAACTGATTCAGGACACTGAGGCAGCCGTGATGACACAAAGGAAGACATTACTTTTCAATCACACCACGTACACAGATGGCAAATGAGTACTACACAAAAAGGTGCTCAATATACAGTGTTAGAGAATTTCAAATTAAAACAAGAGCTATCACTATACAACTATTAGAATGGCTAAAATATAACACAAAACACCAAATGCCATGAGGATGTGGAGCAATGGAAACTCTAACAGCTAGAGGGAATACAAAATGGCACAGCGACTTTGTTATGAGTTGAAAGTGTATTCCGCTTCTGGGAGAACATAGCAGACAAATAACAGCAGCCACGCAGGCTCTCTGCGATTACCAGCTTAGAATCCAGGAGCGGTGCCGTGTGAGGAATCCCACACGAGGGGAGATGTACCTTGCTGACCCAGGAACAAAGTAAGCTGAGAGAAACCAACTGGAAATGCAATCCTGATGCTATAGCAGGAACAGATAAAATCTCAGTGTGGAAGCTGGATCCCACACCATTGGAAGCCGTGATTTGAATTTCCTGCTGCCCATACTGCGTCCCAATCCGCATGGCAGGGAAAGAGGCGCACCAAAGCTCTGAGAGCAGAATCGGCCCAAACGGCTTTGAGTGCGGGACTGGCTCGACCTGCAGTGAGTGAAATGGGGACCCTTTCATAGACTAGGAGGCTCCAACAGAGGACATTCTGGGAACGGGCAGACTAACCGGAACACAGCCCTGCAGTGACTTTAGTCGCATATTCCCCTCTCAAGCGGGAGTGGTGGGGAGCGCTTGGCCTGGTGACGCCGCGGACCAAGATCCTGTAGGCTAGCCCAAAGCAGGTCCCTGTGCCTGGCGGTGCACCCTAGCAGTGAAACATTCAGTGGGTTGACCTGGAGGGGCAGGCCCAGCAGAGGCTGCCCAGGTCTGTGTCTCCCTAGTACACTGCAGTGGGCGGGAACGCTTAGCTGGCGGATTCAAACAAACTGCCACAGACAAAGAGAAAAAAAAAAAAAAAAAAAAAAAAAACTGAGCCTCCTACATACGCTTGTATGGAAGGAACAAAAAGTACGGGAAAAGGGAGCAACAACAAAGGCTCCTCAGTCCCCAATCCTGAGAACACTGATCCAGGAAAGGTAAAAGCAAAAGAGAATGAAGACAGAAAACATGCAATATCAGACACGGCATCTATAGATATAAAACACTCTCTCCAGAGCCTCATAGACGAGTTCAAAAATGAAGTATTTAATGAAATAAAGCAAGAAATAAGTAGAATAGTTAGAGAAATGCTAAGCACTGCCCAAGAAAAAACAGATGGTAGAATGGAAGAACAGAAAAAAAGGGGAGAATTATTGATGGAGAAAATAGAGAAAACATAGAATACGTGAAGCAGGTTCACAGAGATTACCAGGAAACTAAAAACTCTATTGAAAGCTGGCATAACAGCTTGAAAGAAACTAAGGACAGATTATCAGAACTGGAGGACAGATTTGTAAGGTGGGAACATGAAATGAAAAACTTCTTAAAAATAACAAGAAAACAAACAGCAATAATACAAAGGCTAGAAGATGACAAGAGGATCTATAACTTAAGAATTAAGAACATAAAAGAAGAAGTAGGGACTCAAACAAATGAACTACAAAAGCTATTCACAGAAATAATCCAGGAGAATTTCCCTAATTTAGCAAAAGGTAAAGATACTCTGATGTATGAGGCATACAGGACCTCAGCCACCTACAACCCAAACAGAGCTACACCCAGGCATATAATAATCAAAATTCCAGAAATCCAATATAAGAACAGAATATTAAAAGCCATCAGAGACAAGAAACAGATCACTTACAAGGGAACACCCATCAGAATTACAGCAGACTTCTTGGCACAAACCATCAAATCATGAAGAGCGTGGGGGGAAATAATTCAAGCTTTGAAACATAAGAACCTCCAGCCAAGATTGATATATCCTGCACAACTGTCCCTAGAAATTGATGGAAAAACAAGGTGCTTCCAGGATAAAGAGGAACTAGGGGAATTTGCAACCACCAATTCAACTCTACAGAGATTACTGCAGGATATTCTAAAAATGAAAAATACCAAGATTCCAGAAACAGTGGCAGAGCGGCCACAATGAATGGAGCAGAAAGTGAAATAAAGAGGACAAACTGACAACTAGTGACAGAAAAAAAGCTCAACAGAAATGAGGCAGAGAAGGATGCCAAATGAGGATGGTAGGAACAGCCATTTTGGAGAAAACAAGACATCATAATAGCTAGTGCTGACTTAATATCCTCTTGTTTTGAAGTCCCATCAAGCTTTTTTGTTCTTCTGTCTCCATCAGTTTTAACGTGTTGTATCTTATTGGATTTTATTATATGTGGTAATACAAACAAAAACTTTTATAGACAAGGAGATTATACAGAAACCATTGTTCATTTTCTGTTAGTTGATTCTAAATACCCTGTAATACTGTCATTCTCTTGAATGGTTTTACATTGTCTTGATATGTTTGATGCTACAGTATACGAAGTTATACCCAAAGATTTTAATGGAAGAGACACTATGGTAACTACTATTATGTCGAGATTATCTTGTGGTGAAACACTATTTTGCTTAAATGGCTATGTTTTGACTTGCACTGTTTTGTTGTTATGCCCTCTTTTTTATCTCAATCTCCTTTTTATTATCTACTTTTTCATTTTTATCCTTTTAATTAAGGGAAAAATAAAAAATAGCAGGATATATTATAGTAACCCACTTTGATTTCCTATTAACTTGATTTGAAATTCTGTATTGCTCTCACCATCTTGTTTTGACTGATTTTCCTCTATTCTGTTATGCTAGATAGTACCAAGTTTGAAAGTCTAGGCAACAACTATGAAGACAGTAAGATCCATTGTGATGCCCATTCTGGTTGACTATTATCTTCTTTTGAAGTCCTCTAACCCCAATGTTTTGGTTTTACTGATCTTATTCTTTACTGTTTTGTCCAATTTTATTATAACTGATGATATAGGCAATTCTTTTTAAGATAACAAGAGGCATTATGGTAACCATTGTTGATTACCTTGTATTTTGTTTTTACATTATGTATTATTTGACTGACTCTGTCCTAGTATGTCACATTTGGTTTTACTTTCTTCAAAAAAAAAAAAAGTAATAAGAACTGTGGGAGTAATAAAACCCAAAATGTGTAATTGTCATTGTACAAAAGAAAGGAAAAGAAAGTTCTCTAAAAGATATAACTGCATATATATTTAAGTGTATAAGATAGATAACCATATTACTGAGTTTTGTTGGATTATTGAACAAAACTGTTTGCAGTCTCACTGTTTGAAAGTCCCCTGTATATGCTTTAATTTTGTAACTTCAACAACTATTTCTAAGATGACAATATGCAATTAACTAGTGATTTCCTACTGTTTATTTTTTCTGCAATTCTGTATAACTTGTATCCTTTTTCTGTTTTTTTTTTTTTTTTCTTTTTTCTCCTTAAATAAAATAAAAAAAAAAAAGAAAGTGTATTCCTAAACCATACAACACCACACTCACACTCGTGGGTATTTACCCAAATAAACTGAAAATGTATGCAATTCACTAACCCTTCACAATAATGTTTACAGTTGCTTTGTTCCTAACTGCCAAACACTGGAAGTAATCAAGAATTTATGCTGCTAAGTGAAAGAAGCTAATTTGAAAAAGCTGTACATGATTTCAGCTCATGACATTCTGGAAAAGGCAAAACTAGGGAGGCATAAACATACTGAAGGATGTCAGGTTAGGTTTGGATCATGGAGAGGGATGTACAGAGTTTCAGGGCTGGACAGTAGTTTGTATGGTGCTATAGTGATGGATACACGACATTATACATCTGGCAAAACCCACAAAATGTACCAAAGAGTGACCCAGAGTGCAGATTAGCGGCTTTCGTCAATGGTAATGTAGCCGTGGAGATGTGATTCCACAGCAGAGTGCTTATCTAGCACGTGCAAGGTCCTGGGTTCAATCCTCAGCACTGGGGAAGGTGAGAAGTATATGGGAACCCTGTGTACACTCTGCTCATTTTTTCTGTCAACCTAAAACCACTCTATAAAAAACAAAGCACCAGCAGAGTAACAGCGAGAATAAATCCTGGAGGAGAGACTGGAAGCACACAGGGAATAACTGCATTTCTGCTGTTTTTATAAACCATCCTGGTGATGCTAAGATGGATGTGATGGTCAGAGTAGGAAATGACTGAAATAATCTAAAAAAGGATAAAGGCTAATTTTCCTGCCAGTGGTGGGAGGAACAGATGCTGAGTTTTTGGAAACTGAGTAGATGGTAGCACCAAGAACTAATGTGGGCTGGAAATTTGAAAAAGCAAATTTGCAGGTAGTTTTGGCTTTGTTACTCTCAGGACTCTAAAGCAGTCAAAGGACAGATGTCTTCCAGGCAAGCTGACAGGAATCTGAGGTTCAGGGACAGGTCAGGGCTGTGAGTCGGCACACAGCTAAGACATGGATCATCCCGGGGACAAAGGGCAGGCACACTTTGGGTCCTGAGCTCAGGGCCTGTTATCCTTTAAACACATGGTATGCAATCTTCTCTCCCTCCTCACACTCCCAAACAACCTTATCAACCTCAAAAGCCAGGTACATCATTTAAACCCAGAGTGCCTTTGCCATAAATACCTGAAGAATAAACCAGACGAGAGAATAAAACCACAAAAGGACTGGGACACACTCAACGCTGAATCCTTTGCCTGCTGTTCATTAAATCATGAAGTGTTCCCTTAGCAACCACAAAGCCTCTTTCTTATCGCATGACCAGGAAATTTGTGCAAGATGGAGGCGCTGATGGAAAGTTCGAAATGACCTAATTGCCCATTCCTGAAAAACAAGATGTCTGCACAAAAAGCAAACACCTTGCAAAGTTACACCCAGGCCTGGTAAAAACCCCCAGTCTAGCTCACCCCCACATCCCTGCACATGAAGAAAAGCCCACCCCTTTCTTCACTAGTAGGGCAGCATGATTTTTCTTTCTCTACATCAGCACTGTGCCCCCACCCCTTGAGGTACCCTCTCCCAAATCAACTTCCTCCCCTGTGCTTTTTTTTAGCCCCTGGCCTGGTCTCATTGCTATTGCCACCAGCCGGAGGATTCTGTGTTTGGTATCACAGCTCTACTCAAACATCCAAGTAGGAAAGCACAGTCCAAACACAGTGGGCTTAAGGAATATGCAAACATCCACTGTTAGAGGTAAGCAGGAGGGACTCCCTAAAAGCAAAGGTCAGGAATGATCAGAGCCAGCAGGAGGATTGGAGAAGGTGATATGGAAGCCAGATGTATGGGTCAGATTGAAAGGCTTGACCCTGCCAGCCATGGCAGTGAGCCCACATTTAATGCTTACACCCAAAAATTCAAGAGGTGTCTATGAAACATGTCATTGAGGGATGTGGAATGGATGCTAAAGAAATCTCCAAGAGTTAAGTGTCACTGAGGGGGATGATGGAGAGAGGGAGATGAGGGGAGAATAGGGTTATTAGTTCTTAATAAGATAAAACACAACAAACAAAAGGACAAGCATACAGTGTACCATTAAGCTTAGAGTCTTCTTTGAAAGACTCTAAGCTTAATGGTACACTGTATGTAGAGTCTTCTTTGGAAGACTCTAAGCTTAATGGCACACTGTATGTAGAAGCTTTACAATTTAATTATCCAGAAATGTAATATGATCAAGAACACATAGAACACCGAGAAGCCATTACAGAACTAACATATCCTGATGCAAACAGCGGACTCAGCGTGTAAGCTCACATTGGGGACACAGAACCTGACCCCTGGGACATTTGAAAAACGTCAGGGCCCTGGCATTTTTCCCTTTGTGTCTCTCACACTCCTCTTTGTTTTCCTACAGGTTTTACCCTAATTTAGACCCTTCTCATGAAGATTAGATCAACAGAGTCTAAGAGGGTCTTTCTGTTTCAAACCACCCTGCATACTGTCTTAGGATTTTATTTTTAAAATTTTTCACATGTCTTCATAGACGCTGGCAGTCCACAATGACTACATTCCTCGTTGGGAGCTGGCACAGAAGCATAACATGTCTCAATTCTCTCTACCCCTTCCCCACGCCTTTCTCTGAAACCTCTGTTCTCCATTACCTAACCTCGCTGTTGCACATTTAAGCTCTTTTATGAGCTGATCCAAAACTAACGTCCTCTGCTTTCCTAAGAGAGCCATCAACGGCTGTCCTGGGGCACTCACTGGCCCTGTACATAGCACGCTCCTTGCGTCACTCCTCTGTCTGCGCCTTGGTGCCCTGTACTCTCGCTCCCAGGCCCCCTGTAGCTTGCTCCTCTCTACTTATCTAAGCACTGCTTAAAGGGCGAGCCAGCATCATGCCTTCTGGGACTTCCTGAGGTGCAAGGACACTTTTGTCCTCTGAAATCCCATGGCGTCCCTACTGCCAATCATTTCAGTTACCATATACAGAACACTATGCACCATTAAACCACCCCTTAACAGTACTTTTTATAAGTACCAGTGATAGCTTAAGAAAGCCAGTAACATTTATCATATGTGATAGTCACCAAGCCTTGATCTTCATGTCGAAAGGTACCAAAACCTCCTCTGTTTCTTTCAGTACAACTAACTGGTTTCCTCACTCTGCCTTTTGAACATTCTGCACACACGTGATACATGGGCTTGAGTCCTAAGCCCCCGCCTCCCCCACTGCACCCACAGCCCATGAGTCAAATCACTCACCCCACTGGCAGTTCTGATGGGCTTTGCCTTTAACTTGGGGACCAAGACCTTCCGATACTGCGGAGGGACTGCAGCAATGATATCCACCAGGCGGGGCTGTGCTGAAAGGCCGTATTTGGCAGCTGTCTTGGTTTTCACCCTGCAAGTAAAGCATCGAGCATCACCATATTTCAGGTACCAGCTACCAACGGGATGACATGTGAATGATACCATCTCCTGTCTCTCCTGCCTGTTCACCAGATGACAACCAGTAGCAGTAAGGTCTATCAATATCAAAAAAAAAACAGGACAAAAGGACAAAAATGCATAACTGACTTCCTCTTCTCACACTTAAGTACCGGCAAGAAAACCAGAAAACTACAGAGGACAGACCTGGGTGATGATATAGAGTGGGTCTGGTTAAAACAGCGCACAGCTTTTCAGCCTCTGGATGACCAAGATGTGGGACCAGGCCATTCTCCATGGGAGGCTGCCCTGCCCACGGCAGGCTGTTTAATGGCACCTGTGGCCTTCTTGACCTCTCTCCACTAGCATCCTGTCGTAACAATCAAAAATATCTCTAGGCATTGCCTGAGGGTGAAAGTACCCTGGTTAAGAACTACTTTCTTAAAATATTACATGCATAAAAACAGAGCAGAAAGCATATGAATACTCTTTAATAATTATGAAGCAAATATTTCTGTATACTTCTTCTTGACTGTAACTCTAACCCTAGAAGTAACCTTAACCCTGACTAATGCTTCCTTTGATTTTCCCTACAACTGTACCAGTTTATTTTTCTCTGTGACTGTTAGCTAAATTCTAACAGTCATTCTGTCTTCTAACTATGAGGGCTGGGGATTTAGTTCAGCGGCATAAGCGCCTGCCTTGCAAGCAGGCAGTCGTGAGTTTGATCCCCGGTACCAATTTAAAAAAAAAAAAAAAAAAATCTAACTATAATCCATCTTGAAACAGCTGTGGAGTGCTTGAATTTTCAACAATATTAATGATTACCTAAGATGTACAAAAGACTCCCTATGCTCTTGGCATGTTTGAACGAGGAAGGCACAGTCCTTTCGTGTTCCATATTGAACAACTCCTACTCACACACAAGCACAATGAAGGCTTCCAGAGATCAGAGTGGGCTCAGTGGGTCCTGGGAAAAGTCAAGTCAAACGGGCCCTGGAGAAAGGGAGCCCTCAGAGAGGCAGCGCAGCTGCAGAGGTGACACTAAGCTTACGTGAAGATGCAAACTTAGAAGACACAGCCTCGACAGGAAACTGGATACTTTCAGTGTAGAGAAACAGAAGTTTAAAAAGTAGGAAAAGCACATTAAAGCCAGCCCAAGAGGTCTTACAAATGAAGGTATGTGAGCAGGGACTAGTTTTAAAAGTGTCAGCTTTAATGCTCTCAATTAAGAGAAGGGCAAAAATGGTAGGAAATAGAAATTTTAAATAGAAATTAAACATTTTTCTAATTAAGAATGCAACTGGGGGTATAGCTCAGTGGCATAGCACAAGGCAGGCCTGGCAAGGTCCTAAGTTCGATTCCCAGCACACACACCACCACCACCACCACCACCACCACCACCCCCCCCCCCCGCAAAAAAAGGGATGCAACCAACAAAAAAAGAACAAAAACTGCAAAAGACATGGTAGAAAGATTGACAGAACACAACTTCAGAGCCATAAAAGGGTATTTATTCCCTTAGCAAATGATTCCTAAACGCAGTGCTTCAGGAAAAATGCCAAATACTGCAGCATCTCAATTAATGGAGAATAGAATCTAAGCAAAGGTCTCACATATAGTGATTAGATGACCTCGATGTAAGGAGAATCCTTTCATTAGGGCTGATCTGTAAGAGAGTGAATGATACACTGTTTAAAAAAACAGACACAAACATGCAGAACCACTTGCATTTGAAGGTACAGCAAAGACCACGGTGAACACGATGATGGAGAGGAAGAGGACAAGCATGTCAAAGGGCTTCTCAAGGAAAGAGATACTGGATTAGATCAATGGCCCCAAAGGGAGAGTTGTCATGAAAAAGAGTTACTGCTTCCACCAAGGGAAGAGGAATAGGACATGAAGAAGGACGTAGTGCAGGAGACAAGAACGCGGGCTCTGGAGACAAAGGACCTAATTCTACATCCAGGCTCTGGCAATTACCATTTACCCCTGAACAAATTCAGCTTCTCTATGTCTTAAAATACCCTTCTGTCAAACAAAGTAGCCCTACGTGTACTTCATACAGTTTCTAAGAGGATTAATTAAGCTATTGCATACAATGCATTAATAATAGTGCCCAGAATATAATAGGGGCCCAATAAACATTAAGAGGGTAGTAGTATTATTAGGTTATTGTCAGGCAATTGTGTCACAGTGAAGCAAGTGACAGGGCAGGAAGAAAGCTGGTAAAAAATAAAACACAGCACAAAGAGTAGTATTAAATTATTTCCTAAAACATATCTACTAGCTAAGAAGGAAATTGCCCTCCTTTTATAGATTTACTTACTTATTGAGATCGATGTCTTTCCCCTGTTCGTGGGCTTCAATCAGTTGTTTAATAACATCTCCTATAGTCAGCATCATTAGCTCAGCAGGGCTGAGATCTCCTGGAATGATAACATTCAACTATCAAAAATCAGGAAGACTGAGATTTCCTGAACAGACATTATTCAACAAAACTGAAGTCACATTCTTCAGGAAAGATGTAAAGATCTTACTTAGTAGCAGTTTTCATTCCAAAATCATTTTCCAAATATCCTGAATGTGTAGCTCAAGTTCGGAAGACACAAAATTTATTAGTTACAATCTGATCACAACTTTAAAACAAGCCTGGTGTGTTAGTCCCTTTTCCATCTCGGAAACACAAGTCTCATGCCTACAACTTAGAGGGGAGGTTTATTAAGTTTTCAGCCCATGATCAGAGGGCTTCAAGGTAGAAACAGGACAGCAGAGAGGCATAGCAGAAGAAAGGGTGCTTAACCCATTGCATTCAGGAAGCAGAGATAGAAGGGAGGAACCAAAGGGAGACAGATCCCTGCTGGTCACAGCCCTGGTGACTCACCTCTGACCAGGCCTCACTCCCTAACAGCACTGTCAGCTATAAACAAACCAATGGATTGATCCACTGATGACCATGGTGCCTAACACCTGGTTTTACCTATATGTAGGAAACAGTCCCATTAGAAGTACAGAATACAAGAAATATTAGATATGAAAAAGAATATTGCAGTGACACACGAGATGAAAAGAATCTGCCTGCACACTGAAATACCAAAGTAACACCTCCTTTTTATCTCCAGATTAGTAATTACTAATTCTTGCATACTTTAGAATTCCCAGAGAACATTTAGATTCCTCAGTTCAACAGATCCTCAGAACAGAGCGAAGCAGACAGACAGGAATATCTGCCTATTACATAAAAAGCTGTAGGCTAGCAGCATGGGGGCTTTCAGGAAGTTTGCCCCTTGCCTTCAGAGAAAGCTGGTGAGCATAATGAAGCCATCATACATAAATACTGATGAGAAAGTGCTGGTAACTATGGAGCCCATTCACTTAATTTTACTTGCAACCTCATAAGAACCCTGTAGCTAGGCACTGTTATCCCACTTTATTGATGCAAAAAATGAGGTAAAGGCAAGTTAAAACACTCTAAAAAGCACAGTTAAGACTCAAATCCAGATCTTTTCCCCGTAACTTTTATGCTTTTTTCACTGCAGCACGCTGCCTCTAATTTAGAGTCAAGGCTCACACAACACACACTAACTTGGGAGAAAAAAAATCACAAAAGTCTATAATTAAAAGCTCAGTGCTTTCCAAACCACATACCTCAGCACTTAGGAATTCTACAAAGGTGCCTCAGGGGCCAGGTAGCAGAGGTAAGAGGTTGCAGTGCTGGGGACAGAGGAAAGGGGGGAGGGGTGTGTCTCTCCCATTATAACCATAACAGTTCTTTCATTTGGTTATGCACCAAGATTCTATATAAGAATTTATTTCGAGGCTAAAAGCAGGTTCAGCTGGTAAAAACAGATTAAGGTTTGAAAACTGCTTGTGTTAAATAGAAGAGTAAACTGGTAAGAAAAAGCTTCCTGGAAAAAATGGCAAAGGAATCTTAAAAGAAAGGCAGAAGCACACAGAAGCAATCCTGAAGAAATAATATCAGATATAAACACTGTTGATCATTGTGCAAAGGGGCACTGCCTAACTAGAATACAGGCTGCCTGACAGGATTCAGTAACCAGACAGCACAGAGCACACCTGCCACAAGGGAAAGGCATTTAAATGGAATGCAGTAAGCAGTGGAGAATTATATATTCTCAATTTTAGAAATAAAAACGTGACTGCCACATTTAAAGCGAGGTTAGCAGTACAAGGAAGGTGAAAGGGATTCATATCATCTGGGTGCTACGCAAAATGCTCTTGAAAGGCAACGTTAAAAAGCCATGAGACTTCAAAAAAAAAAAAAAATTAAACATGACAGGTTAGTCCCAACCTCTACGATTGAGTCACTGAGTGAAAATCAGTGACATCTGAGTGTCCATTTCCTTGTCTGTGAAACTGATATACAAAACAAACTTTGCAATACCAGTGGAAGAATCAACTCAAATAATACATATGGAAGCCAAAATACCAGTCAAATATTAGTTACTGATGGAAGTAAGGAGACAGTAGCAAGAAGGCAGAGAAGTCAGCTATTTCAAGAGGTAAGTTTTAAGAACGAGACTTGGTGACAGATGAAGCCAAAAGAGTAAGGCTGTCTGACAGAGCAAGCGAGAGATAATGCTATCAACTTAGGGGATGCAGAGTCTGATGGACAAAACAGATGACATGTGGAGCTGCTGCTTGAGAGAGAAATAGCGGTTCATGTTAAGAGGCACAGTGACGAGGACACATTTCCTTCCACGTTTGGGGTCACAAAATACAGTCTAACCAACCAGTTGCATACATTCAAAATATAATTTTAGGGTGGGAAAGTTACTTAACTCGGAATCTTCCCCCTCTTCATGTATAAGGTGGAGATGACAATCACTTCAGAATGACTGGTAAAGGTTTCATAAATAGTATCAATTATTGTGATAATCATCAGCATTGTTAGCTCAATAGCTCAACCAAACGTAGTAAGAAAACAACTTGTGAGAAAACACTTAAGATGTAACTGCATCCCGCTGGAAAATTAGAATGAACTGATCTATGCTGAGGACCAATACATGCGTGCACGATTGCTCCATGGAACCTCAGGACTTTTCATGTTTTAACTGAAGGGTTTAGGAGAAAATCACAAATACGTCAAATGTGTCTCGAAGAGTCTAAGAAAGCGTTCAATCCACCAGCCGCGTTAACTCCACAGAGAGCACACCCTGGAATAAAGCTGATCCGGCCGTTTATGCAAATCAAGGGACTGACAAAGAGGAAAAGAGTAAGGGTAGACTGGTATTTAACGCATAATGCATAAAACAAGAGGGCGAAGGACTGACACAGGCAGAACGATAGCCCCAGGCGTCGGGGCAACCGAATCCGGGAGCAGATTCCGCTGCAGAAGCGCGGGTCCGTACCCGCCCACTGCAGCGACCACCCTCCTCCCTTTTTACCCTCGCTCTCCCGTTCTGCACCTTTCCGCTTCTGCCTCATTTCAGCACCGTCGGAGCGGACGCCACCACGATACTGAAGCTCATACACGAGAAAATCGACAGCCACAAAGCAACTCCGGCCTGTCGTAAAACGGCGGCCACTGTACCGTAAAGCTGGTTTGCCTGGCCACGCCCCCCGGAGGCGCTCCCCGGCGGAAGGAGGCGGGGTGGGAGACGCTGCGGCAGGGAAGCCTAAGTGGCGGCGTTGGGGCGCGCGGGGTGAACTGGGCCCTGGGCCAAATACATCACTTCCGGGGAGGATAGGCGGGAGCTGGAGTGCGGAGACCGTGATGGGAGGAATTTGTATTCAGAGGCTGGAGGAGATTATGCGGGTTAGGAGCAGGTTATGGGCCAGGTTCTGTGAATGATGGACAAGGGCTGATCGCAAAATATGGTGAATAGTCAAATTTTAAATAATATTTACTACAAGCCGGTAATGATGGCGCACACTTGTAATTTCAGCACTGGGGAGGCTGAGGTAGGAGGATCATAGTGAGTTCGAGACCAGCCTGGGCTTACAAAGTGAGTTTAAGGCCAACCTGAACTGCACAGTGAGACCCTGTCTCAAAAAGACAACAACAAGAAAACTACAGTGAATGGCGTTGCTACAAATCTCCTCCCCTATCAAAATGGTCCCCCTGCGTTAGGGCCTGCGGATCCCATCTTCTTGTGGTTTTCTGAAGCAGTTCTAGAAGTCTTCTTTCGTGAATATCTTTACCAGGTGTGCTTTAAAACTTATGTTGAATGCTGCTGTCAGCCACCATCCCGCGGAAAGGCAGGCTGGTAAGGACGTAACAGTGTGTTCTCATCCACCCTGTTCACTGGATGGGGCGTCAGGGACTGCTTCGAAGACAAAGTGACCATGAAAGATAAACATTTTCGGTGAACACAGAATACTGAGGCAACCACGAATCAAGACTCATGAAAAAGGACTTCCAAAACTGCTTCGGAGAGTAGCAGGAACAATGGGTAAATGTGGTTGATGTGAGAACATTTTGAGGGATACTGATGGCCATGTGTCTTTTGCTGTAGTAAATTATTAAAAACTAAATTCATTGTATTTTTTTAAATCACGGTGTATGAGCCAGCTTAACCATTATGAAAATGATGGATGTCTCTCTGGAGAAACTTTGTAGTTTGGAGACAAGACTTGGAATGTCTTTTGGAAGTCCATTCATGTCCATGGATCAGAGCGAGATTCAGAATCCTTCTTAGTAATAATGATGGAAACAGGTGCCATCTCCAATTCTTTCCTTTCCTTCTAGAATTAAGACAATTCCAGGTCTTTGACCCCACTACTGTTGAAAAAAAAAATCAAAGCGAATGGAAGACTCTTACACTAGTGGGACCAAGTCCAAATCACTGAAGAACCAGCTTTGAGTACAGTTTAAATATAGTTTACAAGCAGGAAGTACAAGGCATTACATGATTGGTTACATAGGTTGAATTAAGTCATATATTGTCAAGAAAACTATATTTGCTCAAAAGGAATTGTTTATCATAACATAGGAACATCCTTGCGATGAGGAGAGAGCAAGCAGAGTTGAAAAGTATCTTTGACTGAGTTACTTCCAATGTCCTTGAAGCCAGTTAGAGACAACATATATTTTCTTAAGTAAGGGAAAATAAACTGAAAATAGATTGGCTCAGTGCATTATCAGAAGAAAAGCAGACCCAGATGGTCAAGGCTGACTGAATTCAGCAGGGTGTTTATGTCACAGGCATCTGGAGCATAGGCAGAGGCTGTTATTGGATTTGAACTTGCTATAACATGTCTGTGTTTGTTTTTCTATAACTGTGCCTTTACTTATTGTATAACTGTGCCCTTATACACTGAAACTGCTCTGGTGAAGCTTTGTGACATCCTATCCTGTTAAATTCATTGACATATATTGTCCTTACAGTCATTCTACTACTAATGAACGTAGATTATCTTTCTTGAAAATACTTGAAATTTCTTGAAAATACTTTATTATGGGTCCCTGTACTCTAATTATTCTACTCTTCTCAGTCCCTGTGGATTCAAGAATACTGGTATTGCGGAGTGGTCACTCCATCTTGTCTCTCCCAAGATGATCCACAGAGTACCACCTCTCCATCCCAGATTCAGGTAACCCGATCCCCACTGCTCCTTTGTTTGACAGTATGTTAGATTTGGATGTCTGTTTTACATTTCGAACTTAATATGTCTAAAACAGGTATCTATTTTGCCTCCAAATCTTCTCTTTCCAGCATTTTTATCTAAAGGTACCATCATAAACCTCAGCACAGAGAGAGAAAGACAGACACACAGAGAGAGAGATTGATTAGTGGGTAGTAAAATTGTAATTTTAAATAGGTATTACAGTAGGCCTTTTAGAGAATCTGAGGAATGTGGCATTTGAACCTCTACTCCTTAGGGAGATTATTACTGGAGAGTGTATTTCAGGCAGAGGGGACAGTTTTGCAAAGGTCCTAGAATGAGAGGACACCTGCTGTATTCATGTAAGAAGGCCAATGTCACTGGACCAGGGAGTGAGACCAAGTACAGAGTAGAGGTCAGAGAAATGACAGAGTGGCAGTAAAGGACCATGTAGCTCATATGAGACCATAAGTCATTAAGAAGCTTGGGCTTTTACTCTGAGATAGGAGTCATTGGAGTTGTTTTGTTTTGTTTTGGTTTGGTTTTTATCTCTCTCTCTCTTTCTGTCTCTTGTATCATTTACTGGGATTAGAGCAGTGCCAATCCAGTCAGTGGGCTGATCCAGCAAGCACCCACCCTTAATCCTAGCCCCCTCAGTCCCAGAATTGTACCACAAATTAATCACACATTCTAGATTCAACCACCTTCAAAAAAAAGCCCCATTTAAAACTACATGAGGCTTTAGGGAGACATCCAGTCACAAACCAGAATATTCCACCCCTGATCCCCCAAAGACTCATGTATGTTTCTTTCATCTCCAAGAGTTGACAAAGTCCTAACAGTTTCAGCATTGCTGAAATGCCCAAGTCCAAAGTCTCCTCTTAGATTTAAGTCAAACTTTTAGCTGTGAGCCCTTGCACAAAGGAAAACAGAGTTAAACACTTCCAGCATTCAATGGTATGAGATAGAGGTTTCCATTCCAAAACGGGAATACAAAGGAATGGAACCAAAATAAGTCCCAAGTCCAGCAGGGCACATGAAGTCCTGTAGTTCCAACGCACCATGTGAGGCAGTCTGTGGCAAGGTGTGAACTCCAAAGGGTTTGAGTGGCTGCACCCCTGTGGCACTTCTGGTGGTGGCAACTCCCATGGCTTCTCTCTGTGGCTGGCACTGCTCCCTCCTTACAAATTTCTTCAGAGGATCTACGTTCCTGGCTTTTCCAGACTTCTGGGGTCTCCACTTCACCTTTGGCTTCACATTCACAGCTTCACACGCTGCCCTCTCAGGAGCACACTGCCTGGCGCTGTTGGAGTTTTTAACAGAGAAATGCTATGCTCTGACTTAAAGGTGTGTCTGTTTACTGACTGGAGAATAGACTTTGGGAGCAGCGGAGCAGTAGAAGCAGGGAAACCACTTAGGCAGCCGTTAGCATACACTTACTGGTAAGTCCTAAGCTCTGATGCACATTAGAAACACCTGGAGAACAGTGAGATTCTCATAAAATCAGACCATCAAGGCGTAGGAAGCAGTCAGTGGTTTTAGAATCCTTGGGCAAACCTTGGGGAACTATGGAATGAGATGAGAGATGACTGAGACCCCAATCGAAGTAGAAAAGCAGTGGAAATGGCTGGAGGGATTCAGACAATATATGCTAATGACTTCAATATCAAGTGTGAGAACAAAGATTTTGAACCAGTGGATTGGAATAAAGTAGTCGTCATTAGCTGAAATAGAGAAGACTAGACGGAGGAGGGTTTTGAGGGGGCTTTGGGGAGTCAGTTGGGAATCCATTGCTTCTGAGACACCCAGTGAGACATGAAGGCGGTTGGCGCTGAAAGTGCCAATCAAGAGTGATATGTGTGTGGGTGAAACTTGAAGCCGTGAGACAGTAAATGTGGAAAGAGATGAAACCAAATCCTAAACCTTGGGGTATTCTGCCATTAACAGGTCAGGGAAGAAGAGCAGTGACCAGCAATGGAGGCTAATGGGGGAGCCCCGAGGAGGGAGGAAGGAGAGGAGGGCAGTGCGGTGACCTGGCGACAAGGGAAGAAAGGATGCAAAGGAGGAGGGAGTGGTGCTGCTGAGGGTCAGGGCGATGAGGGTTGCACTGGCCGGGGACATTGGCCTCTGTGAAAGGACAGGGGGCCAAAGGCTGACTGGAGCAGAGTGATGACAGAGGAGAGGACTGAGCCGCGGGACCAGACAGCTCTTGAGACTTTTTGTCACAAAGCAGCGAAGAGAAATGGGATAGTAGCTGACGGAGAAGCTGAGGTCAAGGGGAGTGTGTGTCCTTTAAAATGGAATGACAGCAAGTTTGCCTGCGATAGGAATAACCCAGAGTGAACGTTTGATGAATTAAGAGAGCGTGCTCCATTGGAGAGAGGGGCGGAAGGCGAGGCAGAAAAGGGCTCTGCTTCCAATGGGCTCATGGACAGGTCAGCCATTAGCAGGCCAGTGGCAGAGCAGCGGTGTACCTTGGAGTTGATAGGAGTGCCCTGTGCCAATTCTCTTTCCATTACTTCAGTGTTTCTAGTGAGTTCCACAAAGATTCCTTCTGCCGGAGTCCAAACTGCTAACAGGCTAAGCTTTCTAGTGTCCACTAGTAAGAGCCCAGCACTATCCTAAGCACCCTGGAAGCTTTCACACTGCCCGGGACTAACTCTAGATACTGAGTAATTTAGTAGCATTTGTAATTAGGAATCCAGTCAATTGTGGAAACAAAGAAACCGCCAGTAGAGGGAGAGCTTAGTGCAAGAGATATGAATACAGGTGTAAGGGATGATTACGCCCAAGAGGTTAAGTAGCAGATCCAACAATAAAGATGGTTTTCATGTTGTCTTTCTTTGTTTTGAACTCTATATTGGCATTTCTGGCATAAGCTGGATGTAAATTGATAGGCAGTCAGACAGCCAGGTGTGGTGGCACGTAACTGTAATTCCAGCACTCAGGGAGCAGAGGCATGAGGATCGCTAAGGATTTGAGGTTCGCCTGAGCTACATAATGAGTTCAAACCTAGC